AATTTTTCATATATTTTTTTTTCATTTTTATGCCAATTTTTTTTTCATTTTTCTTATTTTTTTGTATTTATTCAATTTTTCTTTTCTTTTTATTATTTTATAATTTTTCATATTAATTTTTTTTTTCATGTCAATATATAGTGTCATTATTTTTTATGTCACATCGTAATTTTTCATATATTTTTTTTTCATTTTTAAGCCAATTTTTTTTTCATTTTTCTTATTTTTTTGTATTTATTCAATTTTTCTTTTCTTTTTATTATTTTATAATTTTTCATATTAATTTTTTATTTTTTTTTATGTCAATATATAGTGTCATTATTTTTTATGTCACATCGTAATTTTTCATATATTTTTTTTTTCATTTTTATGCCAATTTTCTTCATATAAATTTTCCTTCCTTTTTATTATTTTATTTGTTTGTATTTATTCAATTTTTCTTTTCTTTTCATTATTTTATAATTTTTCATATTAATTTTTTATTTAGTTTTTTAGGTCGATATATATTGTCATGAGTTAAGGCGAATTATTATGCATATATTTTTTTACGACCCTTTATTGTTTTAAATTTTATTTTCATTTTTTTGATCAATTTTTCTTTTCTTTTTATTATTTTATAATTTTTTATATTAATTTTTTATGTCAATATATGGTGTCACTATTTTTTTATGTCACATCGTAATTTTTCATATATTTTTTTCATTTTTATGCCAATTTTCTTCATATAAATTTTCCTTCCTTTTTATAAGACGAATTTTGCCGATATTTTTTTCATTTTTCTTATTTTTTTGAATTTATTCAATTTTTCTTTTCTTTTTATTATTTTATAATTTTTCATATTAATTTTTTATTTAGTTTTTTAGGTCGATATATATTGTCATGAGTTAAGGCGAATTATTATGCATATATTTTTTACGACCCTTTATTGTTTTATATTTTATTTTCATTTTTTTGGTCAATTTTTCTTTTCTTTTTATTATTTTATAATTTTTCATATTAATTTTTTATTTAGTTTTTTATGTCAATATATATGTCACTATTTTTTGTCACATCGTAATTTTTCATATATTTTTTTTTTCATTTTTATGCTAATTTTCTTCATATAAATTTTCCTTCCTTTTTATAAGACGAATTTTGCCGATATCTTTTTCATTTTTCTTATTTGTTTGTATTTATTCAATTTTTCTTTTCTTTTCATTATTTTATAATTTTTCATATTAATTTTTTATTTGGTTTTTTAGGTCGATATATATTGTTATGAGTTAGGGCGAATTATTATGCATATATTTTTTACGACCCTTTATTGTTTTATATTTTATTTTCATTTTTTTGATCAATTTTTCTTTTCTTTTTATTATTTTATAATTTTTCATATTAATTTTTTATTTAGTTTTTTATGTCAATATATAGTGTCACTATTTTTTATGTCACATCGTAATTTTTCATATTTTTTTTTTCATTTTTATGCCAATTTTCTTCATATAAATTTTCCTTCCTTTTTATAAGACGGATTTTGCCTATATTTTTTTCATTTTTCTCATTTTTGCATTTATTCAATTTTTAATTTTTGTTACCTATCAGATTTTTTTAATTTTTTTAGTTTTCACATTACTGTTTTTTAATTATTTTCTTTAATATGAATTTGTTTAAATTATTTATATATATTATATTCAAATGATTTTTATCATTATTTAGTAACATTTTTATGTTCTCATATATATATATATATATATATATATATATATATATATATATATATTATTTCTGTCGATTTTCAATATTATTTTTTGTAATTCTTATTTAGCTTTAGGTAATAATTCGCGGCCATTTGAAAAGGAAATTGACGACTACATACTTGGAAAGATTAGAAAGAAATTGTATGATGAGACGGACACTCCAACAGAGAGTAGATGTCGCTTGATTATCTATAGAGGAGACTAGGTACGGTTGTGACAAGGTACTATGGTGACAGTCGCCATAGCAGTTAAACTATAGATTTTGACATAGGGTCCAAAGAAAGTACTATGAAGTATGTTTGTTCGAACAAGTTTCCATTATTGCATTGAGCCCGTGCCCCACAAGAGTGAAATAAGTTTCTTTGTTCGATTTCTTTTAACGATAACTTACTTGTATACAGATAAATCAGTCCTGGGGGTGTGGACAGTTAGGACACTTGCTCTTTTCTTGTATGATTTGATTTTATGACATCGTATTTAAGAGCAGTTCAGTAGTTCCACGTACACAAAGATGCCTTATATCCATCATGCACCAGACGTGAAAGTGAGGAACACTTCATATTCCATTTGATTTCACACATGAAGAAAAAGAGAATTCTTCCGCAGGCGCTGTCACTGGAAAATACTGATCACCGGATGTCGAAGAAGAAGAAAAATCGATAACTATATCTAATTATGCTCCATTGGTGATGCGAAGATAAAGATAAATAAAAAACAAATCAGACGAGACAGAATGTAGTCGGCCAGAATAGTATCGTTGGTGGCGATTTGATAATGAAATTCTTTGATTTGTATTTGATGTAATCATTCTTACATTTGTATATATTACAACATTTATATAACAGATAGTTGGTTTACATAGTAAAGTATAAATAAAAATTAGTGGATTGTCAATTGGTAAATTTATATAAAGACTGTGGATTATAACAAAAAAGAAACAAAAAGATTATATACGAGAGTATAGTTAGAATGACAATTAAGTATTTTTAAATGAACACGTTGAAAAGAGTAAGAATTGAGAAAACCAAATTATTTACCTGCATGACTGATTATAGACTTTGTATATCGCTAAAAACATTTTTTTTAATAAGAGATGTTCAATTTGCTTATATTAACTTTTTCTAAATACCAATTTTATATCGAGAAGTTTTTTGAAATATTTGTTTTTTTGTTTTTGTAATGTGAACAAAGTCTTATTTTCTCGATATAGGCATGGGCGTGTTTGTCATACCAAACTATTTTCCGGGTATATTGGCCAATGGCCTGAATGTTAGTATTAGAGTAATTCCTACATTTGAAGTGAAAATTCCCAGTGGTCTTCTTTATGTAGTCGAATATTGTCATTGTAAAGTAATAGTGTCGTCAGTCTCTTGTTCGCTCAGCTTTGTTTTGTACAGTCTGTAGTCTCCGTAGGTTAGTCTTTGTTTTCGCGTTCTTTGCTGGAGTAGCTTACATGACTATAGGTCTTACTAAGGTCAAACAAACTCTCCGCTGGTTCTTCACGCTCAGCAAGCAGTCTCAAATTCATCATCCCCAACGTCCGTCCAATTTTGATGTTCGTTCGTTTCATAAAGCTGAGTCTCCAGTCCAGGGTACTTCGTGGCTCATTACTCTTATTTTCACTCAGTGAGTATAGTAATAGAATAGCTTCAGTCTTTTGTGGATTGATTTTGATTTTCAACTTGTTTGTATAATCCCTCAGTGTATCTATGTAGTGTAGTGTAAATGGCACTGTCGTCGGTAGTTATGTCGTTTATGTAGACATTGAACAGTGCGGACCCAGTATGAAACTTTGCTGTACTTTCCCTTTTGGCATTATATCCTTTGGCTATTATCCTGTACGTCATTCGTGTCAGTAGAATTATTGCGTTTATTGATAGTTATAATCGTTGTAAACTGAATCAAGTAATACAAATTTCGAATAAAATGTTCGCATTCATAATAATTAGTTTGTCACAAAATCGATTTAAGAGATATACAAAGTGTTATAATGAATCAAACAGGAAAATAATTTAGTTCTCAATTCTCACATGTTTATTTAAAAACACCTAGTTCTCATTCTGACATTTCGTTATATAATCGATTCATTATATATTCCACTTATACTTTTATTATTTATATTACAATCAACTAATTTATATTTGTTCTTTAAGGGGCTTCCATTAATCACGTCAGGTTTTTTGGGGAAGGGGGGGTTTGACAAAAGATCACGAAGAATCATGTGGGAGGGAGAGGTATAGTAAGATATCATGTGTATTTATTTTTTACCGGACAAAAAAATCCAAAAATAATTCATAACTATGAATACACATGATGTTTGGGGGGGTAGGGGGTAATATCACCACGTATAACTAAGCGGAGGGGGCGTCCAATAATCCTTAAAAAGTCGATCACGTGAATAATGGACACCCCCTTACTGTATTAGTTTTGTTTTTCTTATCTTCTAATCCAGATCATTACTTCATTCTTGACAGATGTCCTAAAGTTGGAACGTATATAGTTTTTTTGTTAGATAAATCTTTGTTTTTTATTACAATTGGATTCCTTGTTCGAAGCTCAAGACACACACAAACATTATATTTGTGGATACACATTTCCTCGACTATTTTATGTTTAGCGAATTTTATGTTTAAATTTATAAATTTTAAATTATTTTCTTATATTATTCTTGTGGACATTCATAAATGTTTATTATAGTTCATTTTCTGCAACTATTCACATCGCGTCTATACCAATACGTATGATGCTATGTTCATTCTTCTAATACAAATCTTCATTTTCAATTCATTTTCAGATTATTATAATACTACAATCAGCACATTACATTCACACAAACTTAAAAACATTTATTTATAATAATCTTTTTTTTAACATTGTAAAATAAGATTCGGAAGGCGTCACTGAAATATGTCATTTGCGGCATATAAATGACAAGAGATTACTTTTTTTTAATTATCTTATAAAGAATCGAATATTTTCATAAAAAATGTCGGCATCTAATGCGTCGGATTACCTCATCATTCCTGTGCCAAACATATGATATATCTCAACGATAACTGCCAAATCTTAGAAATAAATCTACGTGTGTGTAAATATAGTTCGCGGAACGCGGTAAAACGAAAAAGAATAAGAACCGACGCGGAAAAAAATGTTTTGTTCGGCATCGTATTAATATGACTAAAATTATATATCCATTCGAATATATATTAGCCCATAGTACATAAGTACGTATATGAATACAGAGATCTGTATTCATACACGTACCGTGTTACTTGTTCTCTCGATTGTAGGCCGCTTCGGTACCGCTCATACGCCGTGCAAGACAACGCCGAAGTTCACAGGATAACATACGCTTCAGGAACACAGCAAACTGCATCTGCAAATGACAAAAAAGCAAAATTAAGCTAATTGGCAAATCGCACCTAAATCAAATTGAAAGAACTCTAACTTACTCATTATCAAAACGATCACGTCCCATCATCAGATTTTTTCCAGTTTTCATTGGCCAACTGCAGAAAAAAACAACACTATTATTATGCAGCCATTACAATTACTACATATTACTATTGAATGTGTACAGAAAACTATAATAGCACACGTTATACTATCAGTTGAACATATTACTGTGATTTAAAATATAATAAATAATGATTACAATAAGTAAGTAATCGTAACTTTTTGAATGAAATTTATCGTGTATGTAATGCAATGCATTTGAAAATAGGTAAATTCAAAATTATTAAAACAAAATAATATATATATATATATATATATATATATATATATTATAAAACAGGGCGAGGCACAAAGGTCAAATTATATTGTGAAAACCAAACCAATTACATATCAAATAACACAAATCAAACCAACTACTATCTGACCTATGTTCAGTAAAATTCCCAACTTCATCATTGTAAATGTTTTTTTGCTATTTTTTTAAATTTGTCACCTGGTTCTTTTTACCCAATAGGCGGGATAAAATGCGACGGCCAGGAAGCAAACAATGTGTAATTTTAAAGGGATTTTAAGGAAAATAACATCTACGATATTCTACCAAGTTCCATCGGTACATTTTTCACAGAGATAACACCGTGTTCATAAACATGATCTAGTATTTCGTCAGAAATATTCATCAGCAGAGTTGGAATAGTTACTCAGACGTTTTTTCATTATTTAGACCATTGCCATGGTAAAGGTAGAGTTGGTCCTTTTTACCCAGCGCACGTGTAAGCTTTTGTAGAGGTTATATAAAAAAAACTGTTGAAACTAACTTAAAATTAACAATACATCTTATAAAATAAATACTTAAAAATTATGTTAAGGTCTCATAAACTGAACAAAAGTATACACAACCAAAAAACCAGCAACAAAATTAGTTATACAGTCGGTCAAGTAAGAGCGTGGCGGGGTTAATTTATAAAATTATTTTATGAAACTTTATTATTTATATATAAATTGTATACGTTAGAAGCAAGGATGCAATTTGGTCAATATGTGTCCAGTCACCACCGGAGTCGACAATTGCCTGGCATCTCCGACGCCTTTTTACTAGTTTAACGGATTATTTTAGTCTGACGGCTCGTATTTTAATTTAACGGCTCTATGAGGGCAGTACGTGCTCATATAGAACTTTCATCAGTGAAAATGACATTTTCAAAATCTCTAACAATATTTTCTTGTGCTCAAGCGGAAAAGAAGCACATGTTTTTCAGTCGTCAGAGGCTTCCCCGTTGTGTTGCGCCATTTCAGATCATGAATACGAAGAAAGGTTCAGATAGTTTTGTAGATATTTTAGTAGATATTTCTAAACATTTTGTCATTAATTTGCTCGTCCTTGCTGCAGTGTTAAAGCAGGATTCCGCAAATACCCATTCACTGTTGTTTTTTCTTCTTTTTTTATTTGAACCACGTTCTGATAAATCATCGACATTTCTCCACGCTCTTACTTGACCGACTGTATATGTTTTTCCATCTACTTTCAAATATTATAGTTAAAATTATTATAACTTTACATGTTTTTGAGATATCGGTGGTGGATCTTTTAACTCGCGGACCTTCAAGCCCCGCTCTATCCTACCCAAATCTTTTCTTAACAATTTACATCTAAAGCTTTTGCTTTCATATTTTCTTGCACCGTGTCCTCGGTTTTCAATACACCATATTTTCAGTGCTGCATTTAAGCACTTGTAATCTGTACCCTGATTTGTCTCGTCTTTAGTTAATGATTTCCAATTAAGTGATTCGCCTTTTATAAATCTTAATTTTTCACCACTTTCGATGATTTCAAATATCTATCATCTTCCCACTTTGACGGTTGTGTTCAACATATGTTGAAATTTTTTTAGTTGTTCACTAAATCACACTAAATCCTCACGTTGTTTTTTCTTGCTTCAATAGAAAGCATTTCAATATGTTTTCTAACGCATCGCAAATTAGCCCATACTTCACACAGATTGAACAGGATCAACGAAATGCAGGATCCTAGCCGCACTCCTCTCACAATTTCCACATGCGTTTGGTATCGCCTTAGTTCAGACGAGCTCCTCATTTTCTGTTTCATGTAGACGTTCTGACAGCATCACATATGATATCTTCAATCCATGCCAATTGTCTAAAATACTCTTTCATTTGATGAAGCATGTGCTAATGATTCAGACCATATCGAGGCTATCATTCGATATGATCCACAATATTCCATTAGCTTTCCTGGTGCATATGCAAGAAAGGACGATACTAAAATTTACTTTTGAGTAGTCTGTAAATTTTGCCAAAAAGGTTTCGTGTGCAAAGAGACTATCAGATGGTCTCTCAATTTATTTGCTTTGTGCTTTTTTTGAATAGCAATTATAATTCTAAACATTTCATTTTGTAAATCGATCAGTTTCGTCAGTCCCCTGCTTCTCAGCTCTAATGGTAAGGGGTCATTTTCTGCCTGCAATTATCTAATATATTCCTTTTACAAGGCGAGAAGTTTCGTGTCATTAATCACTATTTTGCCACTGTCTTCTATTGCGTTAGTTTTTCTGTTTTTCTGTTTATCGTTTTTATCCAATTATTTCCATTTGTTGACTGAAACCTACCTTGTTTTCAATGCTTAACTATCATTTGATATATGTTACCTACCTGAAGCCTTTGTTCAATTGTTTTTTTTAATTTCTGCACCCGTTCTTTTTAAATTTACAACTTTATCGAAGTGTTTCCTTTTCTTTAGATCCCAAGCATTTCTTTATTGTTAATCTCAAAAAATTGAGTCTCCGTATCTCATCAGCCGATCATCAACAGTATGTTCCTTACCTGCTACTCCTGTTTCGAGCGTATCTTCTTCGAAATGTAACTTATGGTCCAATATGACTTCAACTTGACGTCTGCTTCATAGTTGTCAATTTTTCCTTCTAGGTTTTCCAGATTTACCTCATTTCGACATTGTCTTTATTTTTCACGTTGTCATCCTGAAAGGCAAATGTACTGCTGTTTTGTACCTGTTTTCTATGACCACAGTAGTGGATAGAAGTCCTAAACGGAAGGTCTTCGGTATAAAAGCAAGACATTATTTTATTCTTTTTGTTAGAATACATTCACACTCATTCCGGAAACAAAATAAAGCATTAGCATTTCCTAGTAGATTAGCTGCTCCTGAGCCATAAGTATCATTGTAATCGATTTTAAATATCATTTGTTCTATACATTCCGTTAATATTGGTGTGTCTGCAACCCGTCACTAATCAACTAAGTTAACCAATTTCGTTATTTTGTACTATTTTTGCCCACCCCTTACGAAGTAAGAATTTCTGAACTGAAACATACCATACACCTGCATGATAATTTACATATAAAATGCATACCAACTTTGATCAAAATATAAAAAAATGTATTTTATCAATGGTCTATTATATTACATATTTAAGAATAAACATCCGCTTTCCCCAATCTAGATTATTCCCACAAGGAAGAGAACACAACAAGACAAACCAGAAACAAGGAAACCAAAGCTAGAGAGAAAAATTGCTAGCTCTTACTTGCTTGATAAATAAAACAAGTACGTGCTTTCTTAGCTCTAGACAAATAATTGCTCTTATTTCAGAAGACAAAAACCACTTCCAAAACATTTGTATTCCGATCGCGCTAATACGTCTCGACGGTGAGTATTCAAATTTCTAATCAGAACACGAAGACTTCTGGGTAGAAACGGTTTCCGACAGACTTGAAAAATTAATGATTCAAACATTATGTATATATATATATATATATATATATATATATATATATTATTCTTCATACAATGGATTACCATTTTTATTTTAATCGTATTGTCTCTTCAAAGGCGTTATTTAAGAGGAAACTTAATATTAAGTATTTGAAAATCTCCTCCAATGTCCAGTAGTGATTTGTTCCGTTTAGACTTTTGTAACAATTATAAAAATTCATTGTTTGTTCAACAAGTAGACAAAAGTTACTGTTTGAATTGAAGGAATTATTGTAAAGATGATTTTAATTTTTCAATAATATCTAGAACGGTCATTTTGTATGATCACAGGATTCTTTATACAGATAGAAGGTTTCTGCAGTAAACTGAGATTTTTATATTATTTAAAAAAAATTGACAAAAATAATTATATGATAACGATAAAACTAATAAAAAGTACGAGTATTAGGTACGAGGCTTATAACGTACTAATTAAAAAGACTTAGATTTGCTATAAGAAACATTCGTCTTGCATACGCAAGTGCTGCCATAAAGCAATAGTTGGCGAGAAAAGATGACGAAACAAATCTAATTTAGAAAATATTAATTTAGGTAATTATCAGGATATATCACAAAAATGAACCAATCTGCTGCGTTATCTAACGTTGAAATAATACGAAGTAGATTTGGATGAAGTATTTGATAAGCAAATCATTAAACCGAGGGTGATGCCTCCCGTCAGCCGATGACGCGTTATTATGTTTCATGAAATTCAAAAATAACGGCGACAATAATGAACAAAAGAGTTGAAAAACAAACAATAAATTGATTACACCTCTTTAATGAGATCAATTATTGATAAAACTAAATATACTGTGCAATCTAATTTTAATTAATTTCAATAAGGGTAGAGCGGGGATTATGGTCTGCGAGTAAAAAAGTCTACAAACAATTTTAAAAACAGGTAAAGTTAGGAATTTTCAACAACAATGTTTGAAAGCAGAGAGAAAAATGTGCAATCAGTCATAACCTTGATTCTTACGAAGTTGCTATCGCGAGATAAACGGCAATGTTTGAATAACAAAAATATTTTCTTCCGTTGTTAGTTTTTTTGGTTGTGTGTACTGTTGTTTAGTTTACGAAACCTTAATACATATAATTTAGAAGTATACATTATATTAGGTATATTTTTAATTTTAAGTTAGCTTCAACAGTTTTGTTATATAACCTCTATAAAAGCTGACACGTGGATGGGATAAAAATGATGAACTAAATCTTCACCCTGGCAAAATTATTCCAACTGTGCTGACAAATATTTCTAACAAAATGCCAGATCAAGGTTATATATAGTGTTATCTTTATCAAAAATGTACCTATGAAATGTATTTTGTGTTGGTTGAATATTGTAGTAATTCACCACGCCAATGGGGTAAAAAGAACCAGGTAACAAACTTTTGAAAAAACTGCAAAAAACACTTTTCTACAACGAGGAAATAGCTGGGAGTTTTACTGAACATAGTCAGATAGTTGTTTGTTTAACATGTGCTATTTGTTGTGTTTTTTTTTTTGGTTTTAACAATATAATATTTAATTGTCCAAAATCAACGTTAAACAATCATTTATTCCTAAGTCAGCAAATATAACAATTATTCATGGCTTCTACAAACTTGATATAAATAAAAAAACTGTTTTTGCGAAATAGTAATGGTCGTATTAAACTAAGTGTGATATAATAGTAACACTGCTGCTTAAAAATTAAATAGAAAGAAAGTGCTCGATTATTGCTATTAAAGTACAATAACCCGCTCAACGCTGCTTCAGTTCAGCGCTCTTTTATTTCAATCTAAAATATGAGGAAAATCGCGGAAAAAATTGTGGAATTAGTAAGATAAACTAGTTTAGTTAAGAAAATTGTGAAAGAATTAATTCTAATTATTTTAATGATAATCTGAAGCAATTAACTGAGCAAGAAGAAAACCAAAAATATTGGTAGTAGTGATTTCAAAGAAGTAGTCCAGGCGCCCTAGGGCATCGAGTAAGCATGATATGAGGATCGCCAACTTTTTTCAAATGAATTTCACCAACATGTCGTCGTTACAAAATTATTTCCATACGAGAATCAAAAATGTTCGAATAAATTATAAAGTACATTATTCAACACGTTATTTCCCATTAATGAAACAATATTAAATAAGAACGATCAAATTAAATTTTATCATTGTTAAAATTTTTTATATTAAACTATATGTTTAATGATAAATTTAGGTCTTTATAATAATCTATAAAAGTGTCAAATAAAAGTGTTAAGAAGAGTAAACTTTTTACCGATTGTGTCAAATCCATTTAATAGCACAAATAAAAAAAATCATTGAAAAATAGTATATAAGCGTATGCAAAATATTTCTGAACAATTTGAAACTTTTTTTAAATTTATGACTGCATTGTTGATTATATTTCTCATTAATTTATAAACTGTCATAACATTCACATGTACATTTTGGCAAACCATCTGATTAGTCAAATTTTGTTTGCGTGTTGCAATAGGTTGCTTTGATTTCCGAATTTATCATGAAAACAATCATTACAAAAAATATCGTAAAAACAAAGAAAAATCTCAAGGGTTCCTATATACAGCATATGATTGTCATTTCCACAATTTTAATCGAGCAATTTCGGATATATACACGTAATGCAAATAATGTCGTTAGTTACAACTGTATATAATGTATCTATATATTTAAACAAAAAACAACAATACAAAAAATATCAAATGTCAATACTAGACAAAAAAATATATAAAAAAACAATATTAAACAAAAACGAAACTGTCAATAATTAATTTACATTCCGGCGTTACAATGTATTATATTAAACTATAGATTTAATAATTAATTCAGGTTTTTAGAATAACCTATAAAAGCAATAATCATATCCTAAATTAAAGACATTGTTTCAACATCAGTAGAAAAAAAATTCTTACCGATTCTGTCAAATCCATTCCATAACACAAAAACACAAAAAATCAAAAATATTTTGTTGTAAAACTTTAAATAAACGTACGCAAAATATTTCTGAACAATTTGAAACTCTTTTTAAATTTATGACTGTATTATTGATTATTTTTCCCATTAATTTATAAATTGACACATTACATACAGACGAACATTTTTGACAAACCATTTGATTATTCAAATTTTGTTTTCGTGTTGCAATAGGTTGCTTTGATATTCAAAATCATGATGAAAACAATCATTACAAAAAATATCGTAAAAACAAAGAAAAATTTCAAGGGTTCCTATATACAGCATAGGACTGTCATTTGCACAATTTAAATCGAGCAATTTCGGATATATACATAACACAAAAAATATCAATTGTCATTTCCCCCATAATAAAACAATATTAGACAAAAACGGAACTGTCTATTTTACATTCCAGCGTTAAAAGTAATTATATTAAATTATAGATTTAATTATCAATTTAGGTCTTCATAATAATCTATAAAAGCAATAATCATATCGTAAATTAAAGACATTAGTTCAACATTAGTAGAAAAGATTTCTTACCGATCGTGTCAAATCCATTCCATAACACAAAAACATAAAAAAATCAACAATATTTAGTTGAAAAACTTTAAATAAACGTATGCAAAGTATTACTAAACGATTTGAAACTTTTTCTAAATTTACGACTATATTATTGATAAAATTTCCCATTAATTTATAAATTGAGCTTATACATTTTTGACGAACGGTTTGATTATACAAATTTTGTTTTCATGTAGCAAGATGTTGCTTTGATATTCGAATTTATGATGAAAACAATCATTACAAAAAATATCATAAAAACAAGGAAAAATTCCAAGGGTTTCTATCTACAGACAGCATATGATTGTCATAATTCCACAATTGCATAAATTGCAAGAATTTTTTTAGCTCTTAAACCCAGAATTCGGTTATCGGTTTGGAAATTATTTTTCGCTGTTTATTGTATGAAAGATGAAATTTTTTGTTTGTAACTTTATGCTTTAATTAACAAAAACTTGTAACATGCTAACGATCATCTAATGTAAATCAAGATTATAACTTCTATAATTTACCAATCAGTTCTAGCATATTTCTGTGGAGTTTCACTATTTTTAATATATATCCGTTTTTCCTTTACTTCTTTATCTACATGTTGGAATCTTTTTCACTGATTTAACATCCTATGCTAACCACAATGTCATTCTTAAAAAAATATTTTGAGTATTTCAATATGTCTTCAATGTCAAATTAATTATTGTCTTAAAAAATACTATTAAAAAGCATTTGTTCAAAGCTGCAACCCTGCAACTTCAAAGAATGAATCCTTTTAATTTACTCGCTAGCTAATTCTAGAACGCTGTTCTTTCCAAAGAAAGCAATTGAAAAATACGAACGGACATATGTGAATATCTGACTTTAGCAAATTCAAACAACTTTTTCGGAGGAGTGTCGAATAGGTTTTCAAGTTAACTACAAAAATCCTTGAAGAAAAAAGTATTACTAAATTTAGAAAAAGATTACTCGATATTTGATGCACTGGTAGTCTCCTCACAGGAGGCTGTTCTAATAGTTATCTTAGCATATTTTTTTGATAAGCTGTATATAATTATACACATAGATGTGGCAATTGATGAGACTTAGATAAGACAAGAAAATTCGAAAAATACGTACAAAATAATTAAGATAAAAAAATATCTAACCTTTACAGAATAGCACTGAACCCAGTAAATCCATTTCCAGCTGTTCTGCCATCAATTGGAAGATCCGGAACATCTCGAGAGAAATGCAAAATTGCCTCATTTCGCTGAAATAATGCATTTGAGTTATTTCAAAATGTTAAGTAGAATTAATAGAATGATTTTTAAAATTATACTGATCTTATAGAGGAAAATTATTTAACACCTCATTTACAAATAAAATATAATATTTATAGTAAAAATATAATATTTATTTATAAAAAATCATTGACCACTGATATCGCGAAGTTGAGATTTCGAATTAAAATAAAAAAATGCAATTATGTGATACTGGTTAAACCCACAAGCTATAATTTACTAATTAATACAATAATTATAATTACATAATTAATTTAATCAAATATATTTAATATTAATATTGAATTATTATAATTTAATTAAATTTAATTTCAAAAGATGTAATTAAAATACAAATTAAACTAAAATGTATTTTATAGAATTATATTTTATTGAAAATCGCTAATCAATAGTCAACCAAAGGATCATACTAACAATAATTCTAAAGATAAACTTATTTATACTAAAGATCAAGAAATGAATGCACATAAAAATAGTATGGAAAATTAAAATCGTAAACGTATAACTCAAATAAAATAATTATAAAAAATCTAGAGCTTATTTCAATAAGAAAATTCAACAAAATTCAATTTATATTAGAATCGAACAGTTCCGGATAAATAATATACTATATATCTAACAACACGTAATGCAATTGCTTTCAATTACAACTGAATATAAAGTATCTATATATTTGAACAAAAAAAATATATATATAAAAAGTGTTAAATGTCATTGCCTATATGAATATTAACTGTCAAAACAAAATTGTCAATATTAAATTCACATTCTATTGTAAAAATTTATTATAATAAACTATAAACTTGATAATCAATTGAATAATCTGTAAAAGTTCCTAATCATGTACTATAATGAATACATTAATTCAACATCAGTAGATTAAACTTCTTACCGATTATGTCAAATCCATTCACTGATACAAAAATACAAAAAATTAAAAAATTTTGTTGCATTTTGTTTTGTTTTAAATAAACGTATGCAAAATATTTCTGAACGTTTTGAAACTTTTTTTAAATTTATTACAGTATTATTAATACAATTTCTTATTAATTTAGAAATAGAGCTTATACATTTGACAAATCGTTTGATTATACAAATTTTGTTTTCGAGTTGCAATAGGTTGCTATGATATTCAAAATCATGATGAAACAATCATTAGAAAAAATATCGTGAAAACAAGGAAAAATTTTAAAGGTTACTACAAACAACATAGGATTGTCATTTCCAATATTTGAATCCAACAATTTCGAATAAATAATATATATATATATATATATATATATATATATATATATATATATATGTTTAACACGTAATGCAATATTTTTTAGTTACGACTGAAAGTAAAGTATCTCTATATTTTAACAAAACAAAATTAAATAAATAGAAGTATCAACTGTCATTCCCCATAACAAAACATTAGAAAAAGCCGGAACTGTCAATAATAACTTTACATTCCATTATAAAATTTTATTATATTAACTATAGATTTAATAATCAATTTAGGTCTTCATAATAATATTTAAATAAAAAATCATATTTTAAAATAGTTCAACATTAGTAGAATAAATTTCTTACCGATTATGTCAAATCATTCCATAACACAAAATCACATATAATATTTTGAATAAACGTTTGCAAAACAATTCTCATCATGTTGAAACTTTTTTTAAATTTACGACTGTTTTTATTATTTAAATATTTCATTAATTTATAAATTGAGCTTGAACATTTTTGACAAACCGTTTGATTATTACGATATACAAATTTTGTTTTCGAGTTGCAATAGGTTGCTTTGATATCCGAATTTATGATAAAAACAATCATTACAAAAAATATCGTAAAAACAAAGAAAAAATCCAAGGGTTCCTACAGACAGCATAGGATTGTCATTTCCACAATTTAGATCGAACAATTTTGCATAAATCCCATGTACGCATATGTTTAACATATTATGAAAATGAATGTAAAGTAATTATATATTTGAACGCAAAAATGAATTGATTAATATCAAAAATATTAAATCTTATTTTCGATAATATAAACACTGAACTAAAACGAAACTGTCGATAATAATTTTACTTGCTTTTGTTAGAACTTATTAAATTAAACTATAGATAATCAATTTAGGTTTTTATAATAATCTTCAATTAAATTTAGGTATTTATAATAAATAGAGGCAATATAATTCAACATTAGCAGAATAAATTTCTTACCGATTGTGTCAAATCCACTCACGAACACAAATACATAAAATCGAAATGATACTCTTTTATACAATTTTAAATAAACGTTTGCAAAGTATTTCTGGACGATTTGAAACTTTTTCTAAATTTATGACTGTATTGTTGATGAAATTTCCCATCAATAAATAAAGTGAGGTTAAACATTTTTGACGAACGGTTTGATCATACAAATTTTGTTTTCGACTTGCAATAGGTTGCTTTGATATCCGAATTTATGGCAAAAACAATCATTATAAAAAATATCGTAAAAACAAAGAAAAATTTCAAGGATTCCTACAGGCAGTATATAATTGTCTTTTTGTATTTTATAAAATAGTGGCATGAGTTGCAAGTGATTTTCTTATGAATTCTTAAATATGTACATATATTACAACATTGCAAGTGAATTTTTTTACATAAAGTTCAATTATCGGTTTGGAAATTATTTTTTACTTTATGCCTCAATTAACAAGGACTTAATATGCTAGTTCCTATTCTAGTTCCTATTCAGTTCTAGCATATGGAATAGAATTCTGAAGAGTTCTTCATTTTTAATATTTAACCGTTCTTCCCTTACTTTTTTATCTACATGTTGGAATCTTTTGCACTAATTTAACATTCTATGCTAACCACAATGTCATTCTTAAAAAATAATTTTGAGCATTTCAACTTGTCTTCAATGTTGAATTTATTATTGCATGAAAAAATACTATTAAAGAACCATTGTTCAAAGCTGCAACTTCAAATAGAGAAATCTTTTAATTTACTCCCACTATTTATAACTCAAATTTTATATCGTTATTACTGAGTTTTTTATTTATTCAGAAAAGTGAAGAAAAAATAATATTGCGTTAATAGACAGCTAATTCTAAAAGGCTATTCTTTCTAAGGAAAGCAATCATAATATGCGAACGGTCAATTTGTGATCTAATTTTGGCCATTTGTGAATGTCCGACTTTAGCAAATTCAAAACAACTTTTCCGGAAGAGTTGTCGAATAAGTTTTCAAGTTAACTTGTGGAAAAAGTAGCTGTGGTACATTTTTTTGATAAGCGGTAGCCCTAACTATACATAGATGTAGCAATTGATGAAAACTTGAGCAAATTCAAAAAATAATTGAAATAATAAAAAATCTAACCTTTACAGAATGGCAATGAACCCACTAAATCCATCTCCAGCTCTCTACTACTGGCGATGGTTGTTCTGCCAATGATTGGAATATCGAGAACATCTCGAGAGAAATGCACAATTGCTCCTCTCTGAAATAATGTATTTGAGTTAATTCAAAATGTTAAGCAGAATTAATAGAATGATTATTAATAAAATTATACAGGTCCTATGAAGGAAAATTTGTTAACATCTCATATACAAACAAAATATAATATTTACAGTTATGTGGCAAAATCATTGACTATTGACCAACCATCGATATGGCCAATTCGGGCTATTTTTTTATTTTTCAAAACAAAATAAAAAAAATGCAATTACGTGATACCGGTTAAATCTACAAGCTATAATTCTTTTTGAGAATAAATTAAATATGAAATACATTAATTATAACTACATAATTAATATAATAAAATATGTTTAATATTATTATTGAATTAATATAATTTATTTAAATTTAATAAATTCAAAAGGTGTATTTAAAATACAAATTAAACTAGAATTTATTTTATAGAATTACATTTTATTGAAAAGCGCTAATCAATAGTCAACTAAAGGATCATACTAATAATAATTTTAAAGAGACACTTACGTACATATATTTATACTAAAGATCAAGAAATGAATGCATATAAAAATACTATGGAAAATTAAAATCGTAAACGTATAACTCAAATAAAATAATTATGAAAAAATCTAGAGCTTATTTCAATAAGAAAATTCAACAGAATTAAATTTATATTAGAACCGAACAGTTCTGGATAAATAATATACTATATATATATATAACAACACGCAATACAATTGCCTTCAATTACAACTGAATTTGAAGTATCTACATATTTGAATAAAAAAAAAATATAAAAAATGTCAAATGTCATTGCCCATATAAATATTAACTGTCAAAACAGAACTGTCAATATTAAATTTACATTCTATGGTAAAAATTTATTGTAATAAACTATAAATTTGATAATCAATTGAATATTCTGTAAAAGTTCCTAATCATGTCCTATAATAAATACAATATTTTAACATCAGTAGATTAAATCCTCAACAATTTTGTATTATAAAACTGATTGTTTTGATTGTCAAAAAAAAGTAGATTAAACTTCTTACCGATCATGTCAAATCCATTTTCTGATACAAAAAATCAAAAAATATTTTGTTGCATTTTGTTTTGTTTTAAACGTATGCAAAATATTTCTGAACGAGGTGAAACTATTTTTTAAATTTACGACAGTATTTATTGATAAAATTTCCCATTAATTTATAAAACTGAGCTTGAGAGCATTTTTGACAAACCGTTTGATTATACATATTTTGTTTTCGAGTTGCAGTAGGTTGCTATGATATTCAAAATGATGAAAACAATCACAAAAAATATCGTAAAAACAAAGAAAAATTCCAAAGGTTACTACAAACAACATAAGATTGCCATTTGCACAATTTGAATCGAACAATTTCAAACAAATAATATAAATACATATGTTTAACACGTAATGTAACTCTTTTCATTTATAATTGAATGTGAAGTATCTTTATATTTAAACAAAATTAAATAAATAAAAGTTTCAACTGCCATTTCCCATAATAAAACAATATTAGACAAAAACGGAACTGTCAATAATAACTTTACATTCATTATAAAATTTTATTGTATTGAATTATACATTTAATAATCAATTTAGGTCTTTATAATAATATATAAAAGAAATGTTTATATTTTAGAATGAAGACGGTAAGAAATTTATTCTTACCGATTATGTAAAATCCATTCCATAACACAAAATCACAAAAAATCGAAAAAATATTCTGAATAAACGTTTGCAAACAAGTTGAAATTTTTTCTAAATTTACGACTGTATTTATTATTGAAATTTTTCATTAATTTATAAATTGAGCTGACACATTTTTGACGAACCATTTGATTATACGAATTTTGTTTCCGAGTTGCAATAGGCTGCTTTGATATTCGAATTTATGATGAAAACAATCATTACAAAAAATATCGCAAAAACAAAGAAAAATTTCAAGGGTTCCTACAGACAGCATAGGATTGTCATTCCCACAATTTAAATCGAACAATTTTGCATATATACTATATATGTATATGTTTAACATGTTATGAAAATGAATGTAAAGCACTTATATATTTAAACGCAAAAATAAATTAGTTAATATAAAAATTTTAAATGTTATTTTCCATAATAAAACACTAAACTAAAACGAAACTGTCAATAATAATTTTACTTTCTTTTGTTAAAATTTATTATATTAAACTAGATTTAGTAATCAATTTAGGTCTTTATAATAATCTAAATAAGTATTCCTCAAATAGAGACAATATAATTCAACATTAGCAGAATAAATTTCTTACCGATTGTGACAAATCCACTCACTAACACAAAAACACATAAAACATTTTTCTAAATTTATGGCTGTATTATTGATGAAATTTCCCATTAATTTTTAAATTAAGGTTGTACATTTTTGACAAACGGTTTGATTATACAAATTTTGTTTTCATGTAGCAATAGGTTGCTTTGATATTCGAATTTATGATGAAAATAATCGTTACAATAAGGGTGCATTCGACTTGGGCGCTTACGCGCTGTGAGCGCGCCGTGAGCGCGCTTTCATCGTTCGACTTGGCGCTGTAAGTTTCACATAAGTACGCTCGTAGCACCATCGTAAGATGCTCGTAGCACAAATTTTGCGCTCACATACGCTCACGCCACAGAGGTAGGGCAGCGTGAGCGTGAGCGTCAGTTGTTTTTACTATCTGTCATTTCATTTGTTTATTAATTGTCAAATTCTTTATAATTCCGCAAAAATGGCAAGCTGTAGATCACAATTATTTTTTAATATTAATATTGATATTAAATAATTTTAAATTTAATTAATTTTAAATAATTTTAAATTTCAATTTTAATATTACTATTAATTAAGCATAAGCTGACCAAATTTCATTTATTTATTAATTGTTAAATTCTATATAATCCCGCAAAAATGCCAAGTTGTATATCACATTTATTTTTTAATATTAATATTAATATTAAATAATTTTAAATTTTAATTTTAATATTACTATTAATTAAGCATAAGCTAACCAAATTTCATTTATTCATTAATTGTTAAATTTTTTATAATCCCGCAAAAATGCCAAGTTATATATCACATTTATTTTTTAATATTAATATTAATATCAATATTAATTAATTTTAAATTTAATTAATTTTAAATAATTTTAAATTTTAATTTTAATATTAATATGAATTAAGCATAAGCAAACCAAATTTCATTTATTTATTAATTGTTAAATTGTTTATAATCCCGCTGAATGATCCAGAAAGTAATAAAATTTACACAATTACCGTTACCGCCAGTTGCCGCCATTTTGATGCTTATTGACGCTCACAGTTTCCAAAACGAACGGAATTTAGTTATCGATTCTGAGCGCTTATCGGCCTAGTCGAACGCTAAAAATTCGTGCTTATAAGCGTGAGCGCTCACAGCGCGTAAGCGTCCAAGTCGAACGCACCCTAAATATCATAAAAACAAGGAAAAATTCCAAGGGTTTCTATCTACGGACAGCATATGATTGTCATAATTCCACAATTCCATAAATTGCAAGTGAAATTTGACACAAAATTCGGTTATCGGTTTGAAAATTATTTATCCCTGTTTATTGTATAAAAGATGGAATTTTTTGTTTGTAACTTTATGCTTCAATTAACAAAGAATTAATATGCTAACGATCTTAGTACATAAATCAAGATTATGGCTCCTATAATTTGCTTTTCTAGTTCCTATTCAGTTCTAGCATATAGACTAGAATTCTGGAGGGTTTCATCATTTTTCATATATATCCGTTTTTCCCTTACTTCTTTATCTACATGTTGGAATCTTTTTCACTAATTTAACATCCTATGCTAACCACAATGTCAAACTTAAAAAATGATTTAGAGCAAATCAACTTGTTTTCAATGTCAAATTAATTATTGCATAAAAAAATACTATTGAAAAGCCATTGTTCAAAGCTGCAAAGAGAGAAATCTTAATTTACTCCCACTATTATATTTCAAATTTAATATCGTAATTACTGAGTTATTTATTCAGAAAAGAAATTTATACAGAAAAAAAAAATAATATTGTGTTAATAGGCAGCTAATTCTAAAAGGCTATTCTTTCTAAAAAAAAGCAATCGTAACCTCCTATAATTTTAGCAAATTCAAATAACTTTTCCGGATAGTGTCGAATAGGTTTTCAAGTTAACCACAAAAACCCTTGAGAAAAAAGTATTACCAAATTTAGAGGAATTTTACTTGACATTTGATACACTGCTGTTCGAATAGTTATCCTAGCATATTTTTTTGATAAGCGGTATCACTGACTATAGTTATACACATAAGTGTAGCAACTGATGATAGCTTGAGAAAATTCGAAAAATATGTACAAAATAATTAAAATAATGAATATTCTAACCTTTACAGTATGGCACTGAATCCAGTAAATCCATCTCCAGCTCCCTGTCTTGGCGATGAATGTTCTGCTAATGATTGGAAAATCAGGAACATCTTGAGAAAAATGCACAATTGCCTCAATTAGCTGAAATAATTAATAAGAATTAATACGAATATAATTAAAATTATACTGATCCTATGAAGAAAAATTATTTAAAACCTCATTTACAAACACAATATAATATTTACAGTTATGTGGTTAAGTCATCGGCTACTGATATAGCGAAGTCAAGATTACAAATTAAAATTAAAAAGTGACATTATAAGTTTTTTTGTTTGAAAATTAAATACCAAATACAATAATTATAACTACATAATTAATATAATTAATATCAATATTTAATTAATAAAATTCAATAATTTCGAAAATTTAATTAAAATACAAATTAAACTAGAATTTATTTCATAGAGTTATATTTTATTGAAAAGCAAAGGATCATACTAATGATAACTTTAAAGAGAAGCTTACGTACATATATTTTTACTAGAGATCAAGCAGTGTATGCACATAAAAATAGTACGGAAAAATAAAATCGTAAGCGTATACTCAAATTAAATA